ATAGATAATGTATAATGTAAAAAGTTGTACAAACTGTAACAATATGTTCGAATAAACAGACCTAAGGCATGACCTCATCTTAACTCCAAAAAAAAAAAAAAAAAAAAAAAAAATTTTTATATATATCAGGAACAGAGTTGTACAATGTACAATGGGTATTCTTATGTTAAGAAAATTCTGGGCTGAAGATTGCTGAAGATTACTTCCGACCCTATCTGAATCCAATAAAATTACAGAATCTCATGTTACAAAACAAACATGAAAAATATAAGAAATTGTAAAAAAAAATGCGAATAACACAAAAATTTACTATTACAACTAACTTCTGACCTCTAAGTAAATGTTTTCAGAATAAAGTTTTACTTATAAGACATGATTGTTAATATTGGATATATAGCGAATTTTTGATATACTATGACTCATATATTTTTGCCTAGCAGCTCAAGATTTTCTTGATATAAGAAAATTCTGTACAACATAGTGTATACACATAGCAGTCACATGATTTGTTACATCTAAAATTTTATCATATGAACAGCATTATTATACAAATTAATGAATTTACATTTTTGAAGTTTTTGTCTAAATTTTAGTTAAAAATATGCCTTTTTTTTTTAAGTAAACTTATTGTAAAAGTTTTTATAAGCAGAATGGTGTAAAGAATGTAAAAAGTGAATTTCTTCCTATGGAGCATGAAATCTTTAAAGATGGCATCTAATTCATCTTTTTCTGTCAGATTATTTTCAAGTTTGCAGAATCTCAGCACAAAAAGTAGATCATTAGATGTGCATGAATGAGAGCTTTTGGCTAACTATAGCTTTAGTTTGGTAGTAGATTATAAACTTAAGAAAAAAATAAAGAAAAACCTTTTTATACTATGTAGATCATGGAATTTGTTAAATTGATCAAGTATAAAAGTACTAACATAGCATGTTCAAGGTAAAAAAATTATTTAATTTAGAACATTTTATTGAATTTTATTTCTTTTTAGTTTATATATATGTTTGACCTAACTACAACTCTATTCTATCATTTATATCAATTATACCATCTATTATAAATTTGTTTTGATGTCCAATATTTAGTATGTTGTGATAACCTTTTCTTGAGATCATTGACAAATTTGGCAGGCAATATATTAGAATTTTTATACTCTTTTAGCTCTTTCAGAATCTTTTCTTTAGCAGGCGTAGGCATATATATTGTGTATGATCTGGATTTTGAAGACAGGCTAGCTTCAAAAGATAATATTAGTTGTAAGTCTTCATCTTTGGTTATTTCTGTTTCTATGTTATGTAGTTCTAGAATTTGCATAGGAATACTATTTACTTCTATTGTTTACACTGTGTTATTAACTTCCATTCTTATATGTTTTGTCTCTTTTGTTAACATCATAGCACTAAGTCTTGTTTTCCTCATCCTTTTTTTATTTGTGATGCAGTTTTAATAATATCTTGTTCAATAATAGCATTCATTCTTTTAATTCTGAACTGGTAACAATTAAACATTAGGAAGTATCCATTATGTGTTAATTGCATAGTTATTATAAATAGATTATGTGATTCTGGCTGTCTTTTACTAAATGCTAATTTAAGTTTATTAATTAGTTCCCAAAGAGCTTTCTGATGATTTATAATAGATCATGAACTTCTGTTCACTTATAGTTCTTTGGTAAATTCTGAAATTAACAAGTCAAATCTTTTATGTTCTGTTTGTGATGCTTTGATGTTTAGCTTCAAATTATCCAAATTAGTTGTCAGCCCAGTTATATTTTCTTTTATAAACTTCACTCCAAACATTTCTAAAGCTTCATTAAAAGTGAAATAATGTTTCTCTTGTATTATATTTACTAAAAGAACTGCTCTAAGTTCTTGAAGCAATTGTGGTCTTCTTTGAAGATCTGATAGGAATCACGCCATGGACTCAGCATATCTTTTTTTTCCTGTTATAGAAAATAAAGAAGCAAACACCATTAAGCTATACATTTTTAAGTCAAAATTTGTTATATGAATTCCAAGCTTGTGCATTTTTAAGTATCCTGCCTATTGGTAAAAGTTGTGCCATGTTTTTAATAAATTATTTTTCACTAAAATATCATCAATAGAATTTTTTTTTTTTGGTTTTGAATATATAGGCGAATTGCAACTCCAACTGCTATCCAAATTAGCTCAAGCATATGAAATGTTACCCAATATCAGCAACTTGTTCAAACTTATCAAGGAACTTAACACCGAGTTGCACAGCAAGTCCAAAAAGACTATAACCTAAAAAAGCAGCAATTAGCACACTGCACATTGCTTTGTTCATATGCCATTGTCCTAGAATGCAATGTACTGTTTGCTCTTCACTTTTATAGTTCTTCATGTGACAATAAATCACTTTGTTATATACAAATTTAATGCACATTATTTGTATAACCAAAGTCTTTTAGAAATAAATCAACTGCCTAATGAACATTTTCATTTTTATTTGAAGTGTCTCCTGGTGCAAGAATAATAGTGTTTGGTAGCACTGTGAATTTTGCTAAGTCAAAATGTTTTCTAATAGCTATATCAACAGCTTCAACATCAAATTCACAATTTCGAAAAGTAATTAACTGATTAAAAACCTCATTGATTTTTTTTTGCCATTTTTCTATTCTAGAACTTATACCAAAAAGATTTAGATTTTTTAATAATTCATCATCTAAATTGACATGTTCTGAACATTGAGATTGAATGATCATTCTTAATGTTGTATGTGCAGTAGCATGAGGTACATTGAAAATGTTACCATATTGGAAGGTCTTGTCTTTCATGTCAATATTGTTTATAATTGCAAAATTCAATACATTAAGATGTAGATCAAGTCTTAGCTAAGGATCCGTGGCTAGCATTCTTTTTTTTTGAAGACACACTTCCTAATCTCTAATATACGATACAACTCCAACTGTATGAAGAATTTTGTACAAGAATCTAATTATATTTGGTCATTGACAAAGGGAAGAAAGAACATGCATGAACTTTATTTTCCAATGGCAAAAGGTAATGGTGAGTAATACTGAAGCAAAAAAAAGAATATATAATTTAATTTTTTTGTCATCCATCTAAGGTGATGACATGCCTCTTTCACTTTGTTTTCTAGCTAATACTTGATTTTTGTTTTTTTTTATGACTATAATAAAGCTAGAAAAAAAACTTATGAGAGGTGACGGCATGGTATTATAGTATTTATTTAAAGATTCTGGTTCTTTGAGTGATGATAATTTTTGTTTAAGATTCGAACATTCTTTTAATACTGAGAGAGCAAATGCTTTTCCAAAGTCTCTACATATAGTGTCCTTTAATTGGTTTATTTGTGTCTCATTACTAATTTTGATTTGTTTGATTGCAAATGCTGTTTTGATTAAAAAAAGACTAGGATTTGTAGAAGTAGTCAAAGGTATAATATCTTGTGTCACATGAATATTTGTGGTAAAATTGTTTAAGGTTTTAATAAGATTTTTTAACAAATTAACTTTAATGTTTTCATTGTCTGATTCAGCGGTTTGCTCAATCTATTTGCTAAACAATTTTAAGACAGATGTAGTATCAGAAGCATGTTAATTTTTACACGAGAATTGCTTTTTTCCTGATCCTTGTTGAATATGCAGATGGCCTCTATATTTTATGAAACAGTCAATGCAAATGAATTGAGAGTTGTCATTATTAAATAATTTAATTGATAGTTCATCATAATTATTCAATGCTGGACAGTTAAACAATCCATGACATAGAATTTGAATTGTGCATTCACACACTTTCTATGTATGTAATGAACATGTTTTTCCTCTTGTAATAAAGCATTTGATTTTCTTGCAAAATAAGCAGCAGTGTAATTTAATAATACTTTCTTCTATTGGTCATACAGCCTTTATACAAGTTTTTCTCCAGGGTTTATATAAAGTATTTTGATCATAGTTGAGATGGCACAGACAAATACCTAATTGTGAAACCTTATCTTCAACATTCTTTATGGCTTGAGAATCAATTTCCCATCTACCACATAATTGCTCTACATAGCATTTCCCCATTCTGTTGCATTGTCAGATTATATTTTGCTTATTATCATTATCAATAATAATGCAATTCATATATTTGGTATTTACTTCATTAGCAGGTACTAGTATTTCAATTTCCTTCTTGAATATTTCCTCATTCTTAATTTCTACCTCATTGTCACTTTCAGAAAATTTATAATCAGTTTCTTCAGTTGTTGCATCTATTATTTCTTGCATTCTTTTAAATGATTGTTAATAAAATCTAAGAATTACATTAAATGATTCAATTAGTTTGATATTGGTATTTGATTCTAGGTTACAATTATTATGATCATTATGATTATTTTCAAGATCAAATAGAGTTTCAGATAAGAACTTTTTTATTGCTTTAGTTTTTATAAATAGTTTAATGTTATTTTTTAAGTCATGTATGTTATTACTAACAGCTTGAAATATAATAAATACTGTAATTAGCAAAGTGAATAGGTAGAGCAAAATTTAAGAGATATTTATATAAATTTTAGTAAACACAAATATTTTTATATTTTTGGACTCGAGATTGAAGCATTTATGTATGTTAAACAACTGTTATTTTGTGAAGAAAATTCAGTACTAGCATGATTAACAGCCGAAATAGCCAACATAGCCGATATAGCTGATATTGCCGATACGGTTAAGATTTTGTCAAAATACTTTTCTAATAGATAAAAAAAGTTGACAAATATTTACAATCATAATTGGGATTTGTAATTTACCATCATTGTGACATCATTAGTTTCCAATTGACTAATAAAATTGAGGTTCATTTAACACAGTTAAATGTTAATAAAGCCTTTATATACATGAAAGAAAACAAACATATTAGTAATATTTATTGGATTATTAGAGTTAACAACATATTGCTTTTGTGATAAAGAATAAAATTCATTATAATAATTATAAATGTTCAATTTAATATGCTTTAAATCTCTATTTTATTAAAAAATCAATTTTTTAAAATTATTTAATACTATTAAAAATATATAAAAATTTTTTAATCTATTTTTACTAAATTTTAAATTTGAAAGTAATATATAAAATTTCTATGCTATTTTGTAATTATCTTACAGTTGTCCCACAATTATTTTATAAAAAGAAAAGGTTCTCATAATTGACTCATAGGTATTCTAATGCTGTTCTATTATCCAAATATCACATAAATGAGTGCTGCAGAATGAAACCTGAACTCGCTATTATGAAAAATTAAATATTCACTTACAGGTTTTTATTCTACAACATCCAAATATTAAAATCACCAATAAAGTGACTGTTTATACCTAGTAATAATTATAAATCAAACAATGAGCTTAACTAAAATTTATAACTGGATGAAATAATTAATAATAACACTAAAGTTAAATATTAAACTTAATTGTCAATGAATCAGTTTATCCTTATTTGCTTAATACTGTTAAACCTTTCTAAGTGCACCTCTCGGGACCATGGAAAAAAAGCAGTATGCACTTATAGAGGACAAAAATATATAGAGCTCTTATAAGTTGGAACCAAGTTATACTGTGCATTTAGAGAGGTTTTTCATGTAGCATGTACTTAGGGAGGTCTGACTATAATTCAATAGCTTAAAATGAGGTTTATGACTAATTTGTAACTAAAATTTGCTGATTTTCTTTTCTGAAAATTAAAAAAATTAAGCTTTTTAGTTGAGATCACTTACTAAGAAATTGTATTTTTTAATGAAGAGGAAATAAATCACATGCAACTCATCTTAATAGCTAATATAAAGACACAAGACTCAGGTATAAATAAGTTATTATAAAAAAGCCAAAAAGACTTTAAAAGTGTATTATAAACCTTTATTATGCTAATAGTATGATATACTATAGAATGACAAGCAATTTTTGAAGGCTAGATTATTTTTGGTTTTGTCATTTATCACACTTTTAATGCATGAACGATGTAGAATTTGACTTTCTGAACAGTCGTACTATGTCTCACAAGTGCAGTTTCCTTTTAAGAAACCCTTGAAATTATTGATTAAAAATAGGCAACCATTGCAATTTACTATGTAAAATACATCTCACATATGAGTGTTGATCACTCAAATTTAATAGGTAAAAATTTACCCTCCTGATCTGCGTGACAAATCGTGTGACTGATAGGCAGAAGTTTGTTTGATTGGTTAATTTTTATAGATCTACCCGTGATTTCCCGTGATTTCCCGTGATTATTAACCAATCAAATTGCATAATTTGTAAAAATTTTATCGTTTAATATTAAGATCGAAAATAAAAAAAATGCAAAAAAGTTTACAAACTAATAAATACACACAAAAGAATTTATTACATATGTTTAGAGAATAGATAGATGCGCGTAGAACGAGACAAATATGATATTTATTACTACGTAGTAAACCTAAAATCATTGAAAAATCTGCAATATACAATATAATCCAAAAATTTTACAATTAACAACCCCAAACCTACTAAAGGAGCGAACCAAACTTAAACATTAAACCCGAGTCCTTTTACCATTAAAGAACTACTTGTACCTATTCAAATTAAACAAATTTATTTAATATAACATAATAAAGTTCTTAAACAAAAATATTTATAGTCACCTCTTGCAGGAGCTAATAGACAGAATATATTTTATTATATTTTGCCTTCTAAGCAAAGCTAGCCAGAAGTGAGATCTTTCTGCATAGCGAATATTGACAGTGCTCTGAAGCTACAAATAGATCTTGGAATGTTATTTATTAGTGCTGTAGTGAGACGTTCTGTTTTGAAAAAGTACTTTAAAACCAACTTTAAGCTTTTTTCTTTACCCATTTTAAAAAAAGTCGTTACTAAGCTAACGCCTCTTGAATTTTAGATTATAAAAGATTATTTTTAAAGGTGGTTTTCCAGCACTCAAACGAAGCGATATATGTAAAAAAAATTTCTTTTTAATCAGTGAAACGTTACGTTCCCAAAAAGTACTTTAAAGTGTATAAATAAGTTACCCGGGCAATTGATTTGCATCAGCCAATCAAACAAACTTCTGCCTATGTAGTTAATGTGTCTGTGCGATTCTCAGCATATGATTGGATAATCTGTCATCGTGACTCTGTGTAGCACCCCGAACAATACTTAAAAGGTAGGTACTAGTAACAAATGCCTCTGTACGCAAAATCTTGAAATTGATTGGTCCGCGTGACTTATTCATCATTCAATATTTTTTTAAAAAAAAAAATAAATGAGCGCATACATCTGTAAAATCGAAGATGCTATAACAAACGATAGTAAAAATAAGTCTTTTAGGCACAAAAATTAGTGTCCCAATATAAATTTAAGGGCCTCAATGCTAAATAGTTGATATTTTTCATTTTTTTTAATCGTCAAAGACTTTATCGAAAGAATTTGTTGATCATTTCTAAATGCGCTACATATATTTTAATGTTTTTTGCAAGGCCTCAGAATTTTGGGTCAGATTCATTGAAACCGAGTGATGCTAGCTAACCAATTATATAGCAGTTATCAATTGGTTTTTAGGCTCGGTCACTGAAATTCAAACCAATATTTAGATTGCAAGTACTATCGAGTTCTTTTATAAAGAGTCATTTTCTTATTCCAGGAATGGATTGCAATGAAGAATATGGTTTCCCGTGACTGAAATGGTGTCTGTGTAGATTTCTCCCGTACCTGGTTTCGCGCGACAACATTGCGCAGCTACTTATTATATGTAAAATGTAATGTTGTTACTTTTTGAATATATATAAAATAAAGCATTAGCAGTTTACAGAATTCAAAAATATAAAATACTTAAGGAGAAATAAAATTTAGCAATATCACTTTTTTATAATAATTTAATAAGAAATATTGATTTCGAAAAATTCAGAAAAATTACTATAAAAAAATTTGATTGATGATTTTTACTATATGACCGATTTACACTATGGTTTGTGACTAAACCAATGCGAGATAACCAAGAATTTATTGCACTATACTAGGAAAACAGATAATGTTAAATATCCGAAGCTAAAAATTTATTTAGCATTAGCTAAAAATAAGGACAGACAAATTAAATACGATAAGTGTGAACAATATTACACACAACATCTGGTCTAACATAGAACGTACTCCGACAATTACTGCCGCAGTAATATTTGGTTATTCAAAGTGCAATTAATTCATCTTTAGTAACCGGATATTTACATTCCTAAGTGCAATTAATCCGTCTCAGGTTTCCAAAAAATCGTGAGGATTTTATAAAAGGAATCTTTTAGTCCACGCTGTATATTATTTTTTATTAAATTATGTTCAATATTTTATATACTAGAAATCGTATAACAACTTGCTTATTTTTGTATTAGATTTACTAATTTTAAATTTTCTATTCATATACAATTAAACCTTTCTAAATGCGTTTAAAGAACCATAAAAAAAATTGCATTTATAAGAGTTTAGCGTATAAATATTTGAATATAGTTAAAGGTTGAGTTTAGAGTAATTCGATAGTAGTTTATATTATATTTTATTTATAAATATACTTTAAATTTATGTTAGAAAATTAGACTGTCATCGAAGCAACTGGTTATTTACTAGTCTAGTCAAAATACTATAAATTAAATATAATATTTACCAGTAAAAATTTTAGCAAATTAATAGATTTTGCTTGTTAAGTTTCTAGTATTATAAAATAATTAATTTTAAATAGTTAAATAAAATTAAATAAATAAAATTTTAAAATACCTTTAATTAGTATTAACAGCATTTGATATTCTTTGCGTATTGATAATTTTGCTAGTGTACATAAAATCATGGTGTTTTTGTGAGACAAATGGCAATTCTTTTGTTATTTTATCTGCTTCTAAGAATTGCATTTTAGTTTCGTTTGAATCATCCGAACTTTCCATGATCTTATTCCATTTTTCAAGTTCGTAATATACATGCAAAGCGTCAGGCCGTTTTTCTTGATCAGCATCCATGCATTTTTTAGCAAACTCAATATAACAATTCGGAGTTCCAGGTGCAAATTCAGGTCGCAATCCTTTACAAATTTTGGTTGCAAGTTTTGTATTGAATTCATAACCATCAAAAGGTCTTTGACCAGTTGACATCTCTGACATGATGACACCGAAGCCGTAAATATCGGCAGCTTTCGTGAAAGTTTGACCTAATAAAACCTCAGGTGCCACATAAGGCATGACACCATAGATATTACCTTCTGAATCATTTTCATTTGCATTTCTGGACAATCCTAGATCGGAAATATAGGATTTTATATTTTCACTAACATCTTTATTCTGCAAGATATTGCCACTGTGAAAGTCTGCATGGACAAGTCCTGAATAATGAATCCAAGATAAGTCGAATGAAATATCTTTAAGTAGGTTTAATTTAGTTTTCCAGGTAAGATCACGAAAGTTTTTTCTTAAAAACTCGTGAAGATTTCCATTATCAGCGTATTGAAATACCATCAAGCATTCATTTTTGCTGTTCTGGGTTAATCCATATATTTTAAATTTGCTGTCCCACAAAATACATTTTGCATAATTCTCAAACTTTGTAATTAATTAAATTAATTGAATAAATTAATTAGTTTAATAAAATTATTAAATAAATAATTGAATTATATATCTAATAATTTATTGAATAAATCAATTTATCTTACTTCTTTTAAAGAACCAGACAAAGTCTTGAGTGCAACGGTACTATTTGGTTCTCGTGATCTTTTATAGGAATAGCTGTCATCACTAATTTTAATATCTTCAATTTTTCGTATACCATCCAACCAGATTGCTGAATATACCGAGCCAAATCCTCCT